ACATGTCCATCCTGGGCCTCCTGCAGTGCCACAACGATGCCACCCGAAGGTTGCAGGAACAGCAACTCATATTCCGCTTGGGAACCCTGCAGCCCAATGGTATCAATGTGGATTTCACAAGTTTCAAAATCTCCCCTCCCCCTACCGCATCCCAAAACCAGTCCAGCTCGTCCCTGCCTCCCTAACCTGTTCTTCCTCCCACCTATCCCCTCCTCCCACCTCAAGCCGCACCTCCATCTCCTACCGACCAACCTCATCCCGCCCCCTTGACCTGTCCGTCCTCCCTGGACTGACCTATCCCCTTCCTAACTCCCTACCTACACTCACCTTTACTGGCTCCATCCCCGCCTCTTCGACTGTTTGTTTCCTCTCCACCTATCCTCTCCTCTATCCCTCTTCTATCCGCCTCCCACTCTCTCCCTATTTATTTCAAAACCCCCTTCCCCTCCCCCTTTTCTGATGAAGGGTCTAGGCCCGAAACGTCAGCCTCTCTGCTCCTATGATGCTGCTTGGCCTGCTGTGTTCATCCAGCCCTGCACCTTGTTGTCTCGGATTCTCCAGCATCTGCAGTTCCTACTATCTCTAAATTTATCTGTATTGTTTTTTAAATGAAGGCTCAGTTTGAAGCCAAGAAGGAACATGAAGGTGTGGTCCAGTTACTGGAGGTAAGAGAACAACTACACATTATCCTTGGTTGTTAATGTTAACAGATATGTTTTGTACTGCCCCATCAACCTACCATTAAAACAGTCCCTGTGTCTATGCCAGGAGGCCAGCGTTGAAGTCCACACTGCTCCAAAGGTGTGTAATAACATGTGTGAAAAGGCTGATTAGAAAATAGCTAGTATTAAAACCATCATTGGAAAACTAAATTAAATTAAAAGAGTTTGAGTATTCTCCAGATTGCATCTCCTCGATGATTTTTTCATTCTGCTGACTTCAAGAAGAGAGTGGTGACCCTGTCATGAACTCGGCACAAATGATCCAGAAGTGTTTGAAGAGCAAATAACATAGTAGCCACAGACAGTGACCAGGCACTGCTAATAGGAGCCACCTTGAATCTGGTATTGAATTTTGGTATAGCCCCAGCTGGGATATTGCTTGTAGTCTCAAGTAACTTCGGTTTAACTTTAATTGATTCTGGTTTTGAGGTCCCAAATGTTATGAGCAAATTTTCGAATGGTTGCAGCACAGAAGGCAGCTTACTTTGCCTGTGAAGCACCTCTAAAGGAGCAATTCACTTAGCACCACTTCCTTGCTTAGCAGATAATGATCTAATTCCCTGTACTAAGCTTAAAATGAACTTGCCTCCACCACACTTTCAGGCAGTGTATTTCAGATCCTTGTGTAGCCATTGCTGCTGTTACCAACTACGTCAAATCTGTTTCCTCTGGATCTCAATTCTTCCACCAGTTGTAACAGTTTTCCATTACCCACACTAACTAGCAAGGTTGGGAATACTTCTATAAAATGTCATGTTCCAGCAGAATGCAGCCCCAAATTCTGCATCCTTTCAATGTAACTGAAATTCCTTACTTCTGAAACCCTTCTCGTGAACCTTTTCTGCACCTCCTCTAAAAGCTTTACGTCCTCCCTAAAGTATGATGCCAGAACTGGATGCAGGTACTCCAACTGAGGCCCAACCAGTATTTTATACAGTTAGTCACTTCTCAGTTGCTAACTGCTGTTGAAAAAGAGAGCCATTTCAAACTCTCTATCCAGTGGCACTGGATTGTATATTGGTAGATCAGAACTCTGGGCTTACAGTTCAGAGCAATTATGTCAGATTACAGATACTTGCTGCACTTGGGCAAATCCCTCTTTAATTGCCTCCTGTTCATCTCTCAAAACAGGTGTCAGAGCCCAGGCACATTCTGTATCTATAGATACCACACTCAGCTTCCAAACATCACACTCTGTATCTACCACACACAGCTTCCAGACATCATACTCAGCTTCCAAATATCACACTCTGTATCTATAGACGTCACACATGGCTTCCAGAAATCACACTCTGTATCTACAGATACCACACAATTTGCAGAGATCATACTCTGTATCTATCACACACAGCTTCCAGACATCACTCTGTATATTATTAGACACTAGACGCAGCTTCCAAATCACATTTTGTATCTGCAGACACCACACATGCTTCCAAATAGAATGCTCTGGGTTCCTGAAAAACCCTGGGTTTTTCAGGATTGTCCCATATTTGAGGAGCTTGTCACTTGTCCCAGGTTGTGTGGGGAGTTTAGTCTGGGGATTTTAGATGGGGGAGTCTTGCAGACTCTAGCAATGAGGGGGCAAAGGAGTTGTGTTTTTGAGGCAAAGGATGGAGGCTCAGAGAGTAAGAACGGTCTTTGGGTGTGTGGGGTCTTCACTGGACACAGAATATCCCTGATCCATGTGAAAGGAGATATCCTGCTCAACTTTTATTTGCATTCGTTTACAGCCCATGTATTGCTTATGAACTGTGAGCAAGAGCAAGTATGTAAAAGCAGATTGAAGTGACAGTGAGCTGCTAATGATCTCTGAACACCTAAAAGATTGGCAGGATGCTAAGTTATTGAAATTCTGCAGCACCTAGCTTCCTTTTAAGAGTGCATTAGAGCCATAACTCTATGACTGAACAAAGATTTTATCATGCTATTTAATACTGATCATTGATCTCTGTTACATTATAGGAGTTGACCTACCTAGTTTTACAGCGGGAGCTGGTATATTCTGTACTGAATGATGCGTGCTGTTTATTAGATTGAGATTCTCTCATGGTTTGAAGCATGCTTCTATTAAATTGTGTTCCATTTTCTGTTTCTCCAATTGATAGAATACCTTGGACTGCATGCAGGTACACAACATCCCACTTCTCCCTCTTTAGCATGTAGACATTCTTTTGTGTTTGGGGAATATGCTGTGCAGCTTTCCACATAATAAATTCCTGCAATATGTGGGAACATCTTACTTACCTGAATGTGTTTTTTCAAGTTTTAATCATTGCATACACAAAATAAGGAACATTATATCATTTCGATTTGTTTGGTTTATTAATGTTTAATATGTTCTGTGCAGTTTTCATTTTAGTTCTTTATGGAACAGATCTATAGCTTATTCTTTTTGTTGAATGGAAATTATTTCTCTTTCCCAGTTATATGTTAAGTAATAGTTATCTCAGTACAAAAATCCACTGAATGCCTATAGAAGCCAACAGAACAAAGTTGCTTTCTTGGATTAATTTGTTTTCTGATGTTTGTGGTAACTGGTGCCATTGGCAGATATCTTGAAAGTAGGGCTGATCCACTATATATTGAGAAACAAGTCTTTGAGTGTCTCAGCAATTTGTGACAATGGTGATTGGCTTTTTTACTACAGTGTCTGTAGCTGATTGATACATTTAGGAGATCACAAGATCCGAGAGGTTGTTGGTTTGAACATCAGTATATCATTTGAGTGCATAAAGAAGGCTTGACACTAGATGGTATAGCATTGAAGAAATACTGCAATGTCATTGGTATTGTTTTTCAGAAGAGATATCACATCAATGTCTCCTCAGCCTGTTATGAGTCAAATGCATGTAAAAGATGCCATAGTATTTTCCAAAGCAAGAGGGAATTCTTTGAATGCCTTGTCCAATCTACTTTTCTTTACAAACACTTCCAAAACCAGATTAGCTATTCCTCTCATTGCTCTTTGTGATGGCTTGTATGTAAAATAGCCATCTATATAACAGCACCAATCGCTCAGTTAAATAAATGAGAGTCACTTTGGAATGATACATGAGATAAGACGAGGCACTGAGGAGGTCATTCTGTGATATTTTACTCGCAATGGGTACTCTGTTCATAATGAGCATTGGTGCTATAATACTATAGGACACTTTGTGTTCAGCACTACCTCTTGAAAGTATGGAATTATAGTATAATACCTCATAGAAATTAAGGACTTAAATTAATTTTACATTATACCTTATAGAAATTGATGCTTTCAGTTTATGTAATGAATGGATTATTCTGTGTCGTATTGACTGAATGAACAGTAAATAGTGCAGTGCCAATTCAACCAGTCTGAACAAGACAACCTAATGTTGAATGATTTATTGAAAAAACATATTTGCCTTGTTTGGTTTTAGATTAAATTTCTCATTTTGCCTGTCCAGGCTTTTGTGCCTATGTATACTCAGAATGGTTCAGTAAAACACAGATCAGAGTGTGTATTACTGACATGGAGTTTGCATTAGTATTGAGTGATCTGTCACTTAGAAGAATCTGCTTTATTGCAACATTAACGTAATGTGAAATTGACAGAATATTTTTTGCATTCACCGTACTTGGTGAATTTAGAGATCTAGTCTTTCTGATCAGTGCAGACGTTTTGGATAGATTGCACATTTTTGTCACTATCTACATTATAGATTAGAATTTTTTGATCAGAATGAGGAATATACATGCATAATATGAAATTGTCATTTCTCTTTCTGATATTGCATTTGTAGCATTTTCTGTTTTATTTCAGATTTCCAACATTTATGTCGTAATAATTTCCTCATTAACAATCCTGGCTAGGAATGGAAAATGTGACTCATAGTGTGAGAACAACAAGGAGTCAGCATTAAACAGATGCCAGGAATTATCTAATTGGAATATGGAACCCTGTGAAATTTGCCAACTTTACTTAAGTCTAGCACAAGAAACATGATGTACAGGGCAGTGGTTTGCAAGCATTATTCCCACTAAACAATGCATGCATATTGCTGCATTGCAGCCTGGAAGGTATCACAGAGATGTTTTTTTTCCATGTAGATTATAATGCAGGTAATTGTAAAGGTACTATGCATTGAAAAATGTGCACGCACATCAGCAACATTTCACAGGAATCATTGGTATGGAGCAACACAGGTGGATATCTGGGTACAAGCTAGGAAAAGAAGTAGAGCTGGTGTTTTGAATGTAGAACAGGGTGACATTATGGACACAGAAATTATGTTTGTTTTGCTGCTGATTAAAATAAATTGAAAGACCAGAAACAAATTGAAATCTCCATGCCACGAGAGAACCAGACATCAAAAACAAACAAAAAATTATTTTTCTCGTGCCTTTTTCCTGATCAGCCTTGCTCAGTGATAACATTCCTGCTTCTGAACCAATGAGCGGTGATTTCAAGCCCTTCACCAGAGATTTCACACAATCTAACACGTATCCACATCTGTGCTCCACTGTGGAAAGTGTCAATTTTTTCTAAGACATTCCACAGACCTATCCTCCCAGATTGACATAAGAACTTCTATTTGCTCTTTTATAAGAAGAGCAGGGCAAGTTTGATGTTGTCCTGGCTGATACTTATTCCGCAAATAATATCATGAAAACAGATAAATGGTCATTTATCTCATTGATGTGTGAAGATTACTTATTTTGTTTGCTCACATCACGCTAGTCACTATATTTCAAAAATTGATCGACTGTAAAGCAGTGAAGTATTTTGAGATGTCCTGCAATAATTAAATATCCTTTATAAATGCAAACTCTTTATTTGTTTTTCAAAAATTACAAATAATCAGGTAAAAACAACAGGTTTGTAACTTGTACCAGGATTCAATTCCAGATTTAATTCTTTCAAAACTGTAAGTACACCATTGTGTGCATCTCCAAAATATTACACCTCATACCTGCAGTGCTAACGATCACAAACAGAGCCTGTGTTTCTAATTATAGTTTGCAACACAAGAAAAGACTGTCAATTCCTGTGTTGCCATTCAGAGCTGCCACACAATGAACTAAGTGATTTTCATCTTTTCCACCAGGCTAAGGTACGGGATCTGGAAGAGAAGTGTCGAAGTCAAAGCATGCAGTTCAGCCTTCTTTCCCAGGAATTGGAGCACTTTCGACTGCAAGCGGGAAATATCGACTTGCTAACTAACACTCTTGTGAGCACAGATGCACCTGGATTGCTCCTCCGTAGCCAGCCACTGCTCCCGAATGGAGTGGAATCACCAGTGGCTAAAGGTAACGTCACAGAGAGCCAAGAATTCCAAAGCACGCACAGCTGGGACCATAAAAATTCTGTCTCTCAAATTTGTTTGAAAAGCAGAGCTACAAATCAGTCTCAGGCACAAACCATTGACAAGAACTATTTGACTGTGGTAGTTACATTAACTGCAAGCAGTGTTGAGATGAGGGGAGCAATGAATGTCACGACATTTCTCACTGACATATGACACCAAAGAGACGAGGAAAGATTTATTTTAGTATTCCCCAGCATATAGGCGATCTGACCATTGTGGGGTTTCCCCGGTAATCCCCCAAGAGTTTTCACAAACCACTCATTTGTTCTGGCTGTGAGTTTTAAAAAGAAAGAAACAATATAAGTATTGCACTGATATGTTCAGTTCAAAGGAAGTGTGGTCCCAAAAGAACAAAAGAAAATTTTGAGATTCCGCACCTTGCCTCAGCACCACCAACGTTTTGCATAATGTCAAGTCGCTCTTTTTACTTGTAGTTCCTCTCGGCTCTGAAATTTGACACACACAGACGTTGCGGGTGAAGAATAGTTGCTTAACTTCCAGAAATTCATCCTGTTTTAGCTCAATTACCTGTCACAGCATCTCTTGATGGAGCGAACCCAATTACAACCAAACACAAAATGTGCTGGAGTAACTCAGCGGAGAGAGAAACAGAGTTTCAAGTCCAATATGACTTCTTCAAAACTTCAGTCTTATCCAATTGATACATTAGCTCCCCATTAAATTCATTATTGTGCACATAAACTTCTCGTCACAGGATGTGGTGTATTGTAAAAACACCCTAAACATTGATTTCTCTTTGAGTAGTGATTTTCTCTGAATATCCATTTTAATTTCACCCTCACTCAATTTCATTAATGTTTCCTGGTCCCACTTACTGTCTTTGTAATGAGATGCCAAATCCTATTTATTATATGAGTACCATTTAATATGTTATATACTTCATTATTGCTGAAAATAATCGCAATTTGTCAAAGGTTTTCATCTTGCAGTCATCAGGACAATACACAAAAATGCCAATTTAAGAGGAAAATCAACATTTATTTTGTATGAGAGGAGAGTGCTGATTGGCGGGCACATCGACCGGGTTCTCTATGACAATGCCTGTACCAATCAGTATCCATATTATTCACATTCTGTGCTACGAAATGTCTATTTATATACCTCAGTTAGATGCCAACAATAAATTAAGTGAAACAATGCATTCAAGTTATATCCAATTGCTCTGCTTTCAGAAAGACTTTCATGATGTGAATAAGCCTGCAGCTGTCATAAACCTGGCATTAATTCTTCTTCTGTTGTGTCACTTTCATTACTTATTCACCTACATTGCCTCTCACAGTACCTAGTCTTTATAATGCTATTTAAAGTAATTATTCCCAGTTTTTCATATTAACCACTCTCCAGTCACGTTCATATTAGCCTTTCCCATATATAATACCATCCATACTGCTACCTGCAGTGCCACCCACTAACATTGTTACCCCCACAGTTAATTGTCATTACCATTCTGCCTTGTCCACTCTCGTTGTTATATTCACATATATTCACATTTGCTAATTCAGGTTGCTGTTGGCCATTTTCAGTCTCTCAATACCGTTTAAAGTCCTATAATCTTTCACAAACCTTGTCACATTTTGCCATACTTACCAATTTGCTTTAGTCAGCATTTTTATTCTAGTTAATTATCTAGTTAAGACTAGTTATTTTCTTTCTTATTACAATGGTACTAATTATATTGTCATTTTGCGTATTTAAATATTCCTCCACTTTCTCCACTTCATTTCCTTGTTGCAATAGTAACACATTAAAATATAAGAACACAAGAAATAAGAGCAGGAGTAAAACTTTTTGAGCTTGCTTGACCGTTCAGTTGGATCATTGATGAACAATGGCGTTAATACCATTTTCCTGCCTGCTCCATATCCCTTGATTCCTTGAGAGACCAAAATATTTGTCCATATCAGTATTAAATGTACTCAACAATCCTCTAGGTAAGAGAATTGTAATGATTCACAACCCTTTGAGAGAAGATTGATCTCCTCATTTCCTTCCTAAATAATAATCAGCTCCTAATCTCGAGACTGTGCTGTCATAGTCTAGATTGCCCAGCTAAAAGAAACAATCTCCCAATGTCTCCTCTTTCAATTCTGTTCAGAATCTTGCACGTTAGAATGACATCTCCACACGTTTATCTGATCTTGAGAGAGTATGAGCCCAATTTACTCACCATTGCTTTAAAGGACAACCCTCCATTAGGAATCAATCAAACAAGCCTTTGTTGTAGTGAGTTCAATGCGAGTATATCCTTGCTTCAAAATGGAAACCAAACCTGCATACATTCTTCCAGATATTGTTTAACCAACAATATCTGGAAGAATATGTGCAGGTTTGGCTTCCTATCTATCCTTGCACCCAATTTCCCAAAGCCATCCCAATTGCTTGCTGTCTTGCACGCTAACTTTTGTTATTGCTTGAATGAGCATATCCATGTCACATTGAAAATCAAATTTTCAAGTTTCACACTTTGTATAAAATATTTATGCTTTTCTATTCTTACAGCTAAAATAAATAACCTTACACTTCCCCACATTTATATTTCCTCTATTATCTTGTTGCCCACTTACTTAACGTGTCTACGTCGGTTTGTAGCCTCTGTATCATTCTCACAGTTTGCATTCGCACAGCAAGCTTAGATATATTGCTCTTGGTTGAATTATATTTTAATCACTCTTTTTCAGTAGATTTTTTTATTGAAAAGTTAAAAATTAACTCTGTCCCATTGCATAATACTAGGTCTAAAATAGCTTTATACCTAGCTGATTCCACAAAGTACACAAACACATTCTATAGACACATCTTGCATATCACTTTTAGAATTTGACTGGTCCAGTCTATGTAAAGTATATTTAAAATCTCCTATTGCATTGTCTTCATTCCAGGTGACAATTATTTCTTGCTTAATGCTCTGTCTTAACTACAATTAGGAACCAACTAGGATGATGACAGGTGGTGATAAATCCATTGAATTTCATATGAAGTTTGAAAGCAACATATTCCAGTCCCATTCAAGTGCCTTAAACAGGGCCAATTGCATTAAAATAAGGGAGAGCTAGTGAAGGTTGGTGGAGTCAATAAAGTAATGATCAATAAACAGAGGCCTCTCTCTATTTGACTTTTGAAACATACTGTGCCAATGGATTATATATTCCAAAACTTGGTGAGCCTGAAAGTCGGTCTCGATAAAAGCAACTAGATCCAAACAATTTTTCTGTCTTTGTGGCAGTCATTTGTCTGTCTTATTGTGAATGCATTGCACATTCAGGTATAGAGTGCTCAATTTTGTTTTATGACTTTATTATTTGCAGGGACCTTTTTCGTTGATGTATTACCACCACTAAACCTTCCCGTTTCACAATGCTTGCCTGCAACCAAATTGCTACATGGCTCTGTTGTCTTGAACTAGCTCTTTAGATTTTAAATTTCACTTTAGCTGAACCCTCTTGCACTTATTGTATTTTAAGGCCCTACCCACAACCTCAGTTATATAATTTGCCCACTTTTTCTGAATACTGGCACCAATCTCCCATCTATCAGATCTTTTCTTCCCTTACCACCCTTTGAGCCACACATTTGATTCTCTAATCTTCTTCACTCTGCACCAATATAGTCCATGGCTCAGGAAACTAGTAGCTTTTGATTTTAATTTGGATCTGAACTCATCAGGCACTTAAGCAACGCATCATTCCTAGTTCTGTCAGTTTTATCATCCAGGAGTGTGAAGCAAATGTGTGGCCGTATGTATTTCAAAATCCTGACTTAGAAATTGGTTCCCAAAACATTTTGTGCAATAGAAAACACCAACTTATGTGGAGAGCTTGTAACTTGTGCCCAAGTTACAACTGCCAATTAACTAACACTTATTTAGGAAGCAACTTGATTGGCAGATAACTGCCATTGCTAGGCAGTGAGGACAGTGCTTTCAAATGCAGGAGTAATACGGCACGACACTCTTTTTTTTCAGAATATGTATTTCCTGCGTTGTAAAAGTTTGTGTCAACAACTCGCAGCTAAAAGCTTCTTGTGCTCTAGTGTGAAAGTTCTCTTTCCTTTAGATGTGGAAAGTGTTCCTCCAGCAGTTCCTCAGCCAGTACAGGAAGAAAAGAAGCAGGAAGAGAAGCAGGAAGATAAGCCAGAAGAAAAACAGGAGGAGAAGCAAGAAGAAAAACAAGAAGCAAAACAAGAGCAACAAGAAGAGCAGGTTGTCTGTGAAGCAAAGGGTCAAACGATCAATGTCTCCCAGCAATCCGAGGAGGCAGAAACAGAAGTTGGTTCCATCACCAGCAAAGATGGACCAGAATCGACACATGGCTCCAGCAAAGGCACTCCGAAAACAGAGTCAGCACGAAGTACCCCAAAGTCTTGCATGACTCCAGAGGTAAGTCACAGTAAAATAATGTCACAAGTATACTTATTTCACAGACTGACTTGTAAGTTAGAAGTTTGCTTTATTTAATGCTACAAATTTTCTAGTCTATCTCCAGGAGATTGAGCTCCCTGTTTAACTTGCATTCCTACACCAGGGCACAAAGTACATTTTTTTTCCCCAAAGACACTTGTCACTTTTCTTGAGGCTGCTTCTGACTTTTGAGGCTACCTTTTGGTTTGCTCCTTTTCATTCTCTCTAACTCATTCATTAAGTGATAGAGTCACCTAGTAACATTATGTTTTGTACTTCTGTTGACATATGAGGTATTTGAACTTAACACAGGTGTGGAATTCGAAGAATTTTGCAATATTTTCAATAGTTACCAACCCTCTATTAAATTTAAAGCCTTGGCACATAAGTAAAGCATTAATTTCGTAGACACCATAGTACTTATATTGGCACAAAACAATAGGCATATGTGAGCAAATGTTCCTTTTGTATCACTACTATACACATCTACACTCAAAAAGCTGTCACCCTCAACTCAACTCAATTCAGAAAGCATACCTTCCACAGACTGGTGAGGTAAGAGTTAATACGGTTCATCTCATGGGTACAAAACTAGAAGATTTTAAGAAAGGTACTATCCTTTTTCTGTTATATCTCATGTCTCAATCTCAGGACTAAATTATACAACTGACAGTGTTCACTGTAATAGAAGCACCCACTACAGTTTCCCCCTTTCGTAAGCTCCTGAATGTATGCAGGCTTAAGTCAGAGATTCCATATTCATCTGCGAGAAAGTCATTACTTCACTGACTTCATGTTTTCCTGGCTCCTTGTTAACTGAGTATTCCTTTATTGACAGGTTTAAACTGTTCCCTCTGTCATCTTTTTAAACATCCCCCTTCCTCCTGGAGTTTCCCTTTACCCCTATTCTTTTGCTGCCTCCCCCCATCCCCCACTCCCTTGCAGCTTTGCCCTATTCTCCCTCTCCCTTGCAACCTCCTCCTTTCCACCTATTCCCTTGCAGCCTCCCCCCTTCCTCCAACCCTTTACAGCCATCCCCCCTTTCTTCCACCCCTTTACAGCCATCCCCCTTTTCCCTCACCCCTTTACAGTCATCCCCCCTTTCCCCTACTCATTTCCCTGTTCCTCTTTAGCTTCCTCCTCCCACTAACCTTCCTCAGCCTCTTCCCTATTAATATGCCCCCTTTCTGTCCTTGTTTCCCGCAGACTGCAGCCCTTTTACGTTACCCTCCTCCACTTTCCAACTGTCACCTCCACTCACCTTGCAGCCTCCTCTCTTCCCACTCCTTTACCTCATTTTTTTAACTGCACCTCCTCTTGCAGCCTTTCTTTCCCCACAGATCCTATATTCTCTCTCTTCCTCCTTCCCCATCACCCTCGCAGCCACTTCCTAAGACCCTCCCAACCTCCATCCCCAGGAGGCATTGGGTATATCATGTTCCATTCCCCCCTCTATTGTATGTACCCTCCAGCCAATTTATGTATTTCCCAAACATGAGAGATTCTGAACATTTATCCCTTCTGCAAGCCTTTGAAACTTTCCTTGTTGTCATTTCTGCTTTGCAGGTTGATACAGCCAGCGAAGCTGAGGAGTTGGACATTGACAATGTCTCATCTATTCCTGAGCCCGAAAGCAGGGTAACTGCAAAATTGAAGGTGTTCATCGCACGTTACAGGTGAACTGATGCTTGTTCTCTTTCATTGAGTCATCAGCCACCGTGCTCTGTAAGAATAAACATTATGTTTGCCGATCTGATTGCATTATTTGGTCTGCATGATGCTGTTTGCAGTTTCATCCAGTGTCCACTATCCAGCTAAAACCACAAAAGGGAAGATTCAGAGAGTTATTAGTCTCAACTGTAATATAGAATTAAAAAAAGGAACAGAAGCTCACTAGCCAAAATATGCCTTCAAGGAGGCAAGATAACGACACTACTTTTGTTTTCCAATTGCTGTATTTCTAGAATAGATATTGTTGCTAGCCTTCGATCTATGAGGACACAGGGCTGCTGGAGGACTCTGGCAGTATTTCATGATCTGTGCTTTTAGTCCACACATTGTAAATGATCCACCATTCTGGCAATAGCAGATCTCTGCCAATGAGTTGCCGTAACTTGTATCATTTCCCTGTCCATAGAATGAAGGAAGTAAACTTGAAAAAGTTTCTTACATATCCAATAGGGGAGTTTCTGTTTACTTTGAACCGATGTGTTGTGTGCCTGTGCACAAATGTTCAGTCAGTATCACAGGTTACACATTGAGTATGTAACTCTGAATTCAGTAGAAGCCTGTGAAGGGAGTCTTTCTTTCCATCATATTGTCAGTGAAGTGATTTGATTCATTGAGGTGAATTTTGTTTCTCAAGCTTTGGTGCAGGACAATTTTGGACAATTTTGGGCAGAGGCATTTTTGGCATGATTTCCAGGATTATTCAGAATCAGGCCTATGTTGTTCACTTCACCTCAATTCCTCTTGAATTCTCTATCTGTTCCAGTTACAATCCCTTTGATGGACCCAATGAAAATCCAGAGGCAGAACTGCCCCTAACAGCAGGAGAATATATTTATGTGTATGGGGACATGGACGAAGATGGATTTTATGAAGGTTTGACTGTTATAAATACTAGAAAATAGTATTCTTTATCTTATAATGAAATATGATTGTTGCCTCTTCTGCTTATAACTCTGTTACCAAGTTAGAGTGCACAGTGTTCCAATAATACCCAAACAGTGAAAAAAGATCTTTTCATAACAGACCAGCAGTTTTCAACTGCCGTCAAACTTCTGTACATATCACTTTTAAAGAAATCTTGGTGAGTTACTTGCAGTGCATCCTTTATATGATACACCCTGTTAACACTTTGTGGTGCTGGAGTGAGTGAAAGTTTAAGATGGTGAATAGGATGCCAATCAAGTAGACTGCTTCATCCTGAAGAAATAGCTTTGAATATGTAACAGTTGTTTCCGCCCCCCACTTATTTGATTGACCACAGATTATACTGATTTTTCTGTTTCTGATCAAATAATCATTCCCCTGAACTGAAGATCGAACCTTTTCTGCTACTGGATTTTATATCTTCTGAGCTTGCGATCTTCCTTTTGAACTGACTCTGTATACTTGTGGTTGGTTGGCTCGCTAAGCTGGTTCGTTGTTCCGCAGACGTTTCATTACCCTGCTGGGTAACATCATCACTGCAGCCTCCAATGAAGTGCTCTTGTGTTTTCCCGCCTGTTATTTAAACTCTAGTGTCCATCGAGCTGGCTTACCTCACTTCCGGTTTCCCTTCGCAACGGTGTGTACATGGGGTCTAGCTCTGTGTTTATTGATGGCTTTCTTAGTAGAGAACCAGGCCTCTAGAAATTCCTATGGGACAGGCGAAGCAGGGACACGCACGGGAATTCCTAGAAGCCTGGTTCTCTACTAAGAAAGCCATCAATAAACACATACAGCTCAACCCCATACACACTCCACTGCAAAGGAAAACCGGAAGTGAGGTAATCCAGCTCAATGGACACCAGAGTTTAAATAACAGGTGGGAAAACACACCGATGCTTCATCGGAGGCTGCAGTGATGATGTTACCCAGCAGGGTAATGAAACATCTGCGGAACAACAAACCAGCTTGGCGGGCCAACCAACCACAACATCCACAACTTGAGCTACAAATCTACTCTAAAACCTTAGAGACTCTCTATACTTCCTGCATCCTCATTTCCTTGACAATACCACAATCAGTCCTCCTGGCTAGGAACTTGAAAACAGTTCACCAGTGCTTGAAACTGACTCTACTCTATCTACGTCATCATTACTCCTATATGGGACATTTAATTTAACTCTGGATTGTGTATTAACTCCTGTTTCCAATTTAATGCCTTTCCTGTTTACAGTCAGATCCTTATGCTTCCCTATTATTTATGCAACTTGAGCTGAATCCATCACTGTACCTATTTTGGCTGCCAAACCCAATACTGTAATTTCACTTTAAATTTTCCGTCCACTGTTTTTCCTTCCTAGGCACCTGTTTATCATCATTTCTCATTTCTTTGCAAATTCTCTACTCCGTTCTTTAATACTTCACAAACTTCCTGTTTTTATGAGTATCCCAGGATCGACTTATTCTTTGCTAAGGTCTACAGCTCTCCCCTGTGCCTATCTTGACTTTCCTCAAAAGGCTTATTGAGGAACTGGACACTGATTCTTTATGAACAGCACTAAAATTACTCAATCCCACTCACCAGTCGATCTTCCTCCCCGGTGCATCATTGGAGGCTAACTTTGTCAATGCCCTTCTCATCCAGCTCACTCCTCCGAATGCTGACCTAGTGGACATTGTCAGAATTTCAGCTTGAACTACCCTTCTACACCTCTCCATTGTGAGTGACTGATCACTTGTGAACAAAATCTTGGCATTCATGAATTTATTGTGGAAGATTGCATCAATATCATAGCAGAACATAATATCAAATAACAGAAATGTAGCTGAAAAGTGAAGGACTTTTCCCCTCAATGAAATTTTCCTGTCTGGCTTTATCTTCCACTACTTGCTCATCAAGACTGTTGTGGTGGTGGCATGGTATTTATCACCAGATCATACATTGGCCTGACCCACCATTCCTTTGCCACTTTCTTCTCCACTGAGTATCTCCCTTGTTCCTTCTTCTGTAGCTTGGACTTTCCACCTGCATCCCAGGAGAATAATATTTTCCCACTGAGATATCTTCACTGCTTTCCTTCATCAACCTCTGCATTGAAAGACTTCTCATCTTCAGTGATTTCAACCTTTGTCTCAATTCACTATGCTGTCCTCCCTTGACTTCACTGCCCTTTTATCCTCCCTGAATCTCTTGCTGCATGTAAAGACCCCACATTTCTCTCAACTCTCTGCTACTAACCTCATATACTATTCATCAATTACACCTGCACCATTTAGCAAGTTATTTAACCTTTGACAATTACCTATGTGTCTTTAGGATAGATTTTATTATTCCTGTCAGATTCTTATTACCTAATTCCATAAATCATTGTCTAACATAGATGAGAAATATCAGAGTAAATTAGGGAGATACAACAATGTCACCACTGGATAATCCATATGACTTCACCTGATGAAGGGACTGCGCTCCAGAAGCTTGTGATTTCAAACAAACCTGTGGGACCATAACCTGGAGTCATGTGACTACTGACAGATCAATTGACTGCCCAGAATAATTGCCTTATTATACTCCGTGTCAAGTTTAATTTTGCACAGAATATTTTCTAAACAATTTGAGATCTTACTGAAGGGCACATTAGTAATTATAAAAAAAAGACTTACTCCAACAATTTCCCTTAGAATTAAAACTCCCATTAGTGATCTCAATGCGTTGTCTTCACCAATTCTAAAACAAGTAGTACTTCTGTAATCATTAATTTTGTATTAATCCTTACAGCTTAGTGAGTCAATACAATATTTTCACCAGTTTGCTCTATATGTTGTTGAAGTACAATTCCTAAAGAAGTCCATCTTCATCACAGGACTAAACATCTTTATGACTAATATAATTTGTTCATATTCATAATAGTGCTGTCTTCTTCCTCAGCATTCTCTTCACCATGTTTCATTTCCAGATGCTGCCTTTCCTTTTTGGGCAGTTCATTCCATAATGATAACTAGAATTACACCTGAAGCACTAATTAACTGTTCCATGGATAATTCTGGGATTTATTCACCCATTAGTTTTGTTCCAGTATTGTCTTTTGCTGTAATTGTCATATCTGCTGAAAATGCTTTCATTTTAATTCTGAAATAGTAGGAACTGCAGATGCTGGAGAATCTGAGATAACAAGGTTTAGAGCT